TTTATATGCGCATTGGCATTTGCCTCGCAAGATGGAAGCTGATAAAGGCGCTGAGAGCGCGATGAAACAAAACATTGTGCAATGGAATGAAATTGATTAAGCTATAAACATACAAAAGTTACAGCTACATACAACAAAATAGATCACAAGATCGCGGAATCCGCGATACTCCCGGCCAGCGAAGTCCTAGTCGCGGAAGAATCGAAGGTCGCGACGCAATCTCCCGATACGTTCCGTGGCTTCCGATAAACTATGACGTGCTCGTGCTAGTCTCTCAGCTCTTTGTTCGCTCTGCTCTGGTAAATAACACAAGGCGGAGTGGTGTCCAAACTCGCGACAATAATAACAGCGAGTATAGTGTTTGGGGCAGTCTTCTCCTCTCATGCAAGTTTCGAGGCACTCTTCGCACCTCCCTTTTACCTCGGTCATCCTTCGGCGCACGAAAACTGAACTGATCTCGGTGCATGAGTCTGAGTAGTGCTGACCGACCGCTGCGCAAAAGACGCATTGCATCGTACGCTCATCCTCGCGTCGGATAGCGCCGCGCGCAAACCTTCTCCGTGGGCAAGTAGGTTGATCACGCAATTCCTCTATGATCGCACGGAAATCGGTGCATGATTGCTCGAGCTGTTGAATTTCCGTCTCAATCTGTCGCCTCATACTTTCATTTTCTCGTCGGAGGCGCTCTTGCATATCTTCTTGTGGGTCTTCTTCTTCCTCTTCCGCCTCCCCTTCAACCACTTCCACTTCTTCCAAGTCTTCAACTTCTTCCAAAAACTCCACGTTCTGCTGGAGGGCTTCTCTTTCTTGCTCTTGCATGGCTATGTCCTCCGGCGCAGGCGCTTTTCCGCTGGAGTCTTGATCCCCATCAGGGGGCGCTTCCTCCTCATGAGCCTCCTCCATTGCGGAGTCGTTGTGTGCGTCCACGATCGGCGCGGTCGCTGCGCGCTGTTCCATGGATTGGAGTGCCACATTTAACGAGGACTGTAGCTCGGCAACAGCGCGGCGCATGTCGAGTTGAAAATTCAGGTTGGCTTGCCTTTCCTCGTGCATTAAAGAGGCTCTGATTTCGGTGAGAGCGCGGCGGTGGCAGTCAAGTTGGTGGAGCTGGTCGTCCGCTACACGTTCTATATCCTCAGGGCGTGACAGCAATGGTAGTCAGCCGCTTCCAAGCCAAAAAAAAACTGGCTGCGCAGAGCGCTGGTGCTGTCCAGTTGCGCCTGGTGCCAAAGAAAATCCAGTAAAGAAAACGAAATCAAATGCGTACCTGCGTGCAGTCCTTGTTCTGGGAGCCGATGCACCATGTACGATATTGAGCTCGGTGGTTCTAGTCTTGCTACAGCACACGAACACTGGCGCTCAGCAAGTTTATCTCAAACTTGGGTAATTAAACAAGAAATAAATCAACGCAATGCAATGTCTACTTTTTGACGATAAAGGCACGATTCATAAGACATCAATAAAGTGAGAAAAGTAAAGAAGTATTTCTAAGGAGATAAAGGCGCTGCGCTATAGAAAGACATGAATAGAGGCGCTGCGCTAAGTGAGAGTCGAAAGGTCTAAAGACTAATGGCAATGAGGAAATGTGTTGCAAAGCGCATGCCAACGGTTTTATATGCGCATTGGCATTTGCCTCGCAAGATGGAAGCTGATAAAGGCGCTGAGAGCGCAATGAAACAAAACATGTGTGTCAGATGAATGAAGATTGATACGCTATAAACAGCCGCACAAAAGTTTACAGCATACAGTACAACAAAATAGATCAGCAAACGCGAATTCCGCGATACTGACCGTCTGATAAAGGAGACCAACTGCTAGAAAACGTGTGATATGGTAGTCCCGTCGTTTGTCGTAAGCAAAAAAAGACAGGATGGCTCAGCGCCAAGCGCGGTCGCTCGGACACGCGAGCCTCATCCGACAGCGCGACCCAGGTAGGAGTGTTACTTAGTCATATACCTGCTTACGAGATGATGTCGACTTATTAATATTTCCAGTTATTTTCTGATTATTTCAATCGAAGAAAGTTTTGTGCTACTTTATACCGATACATTTTTACATATCCGGATTCTTTACAAAGCAAGTTTCGCTACACAGGACTCAGCGAGCACCGACGACCTTTGCTCTCGCTCCGTTACGGCTACGCCTGCACTCATTACGACGGCAATCCCCTCTCCAGCTTAGCCTGAATGACGTACCTAGCCGGTTGGGGAATCCCTCAGGTAATGATCTGTCCTGGGGGGATGTATGTATAAGCCAAGTGAATGCTGGAAAACCGCAAAAAAGTTCAAAAACGCGGGAAGATTTGTTCCAACGCGGCAATTTCTCCTCGACGCCACATAACCTCCTCTCCCCACGGCCAGTTACGACCCCCGCTATGTGTTTCACACAGCGATGCTGGCACCCTGTGTCCAATGAGGCGTAGTGTTGTACACCTAACTGTCGGCTTGGGCACGGTTAGTGCGTTCAGCCAGTATGAGCGTGCAGAGCGCAAGGCCATTCTCTGCCGCTTGTTTGAGGCGCGCATGGGACAGAGAAGTGGTAGATAGAGTAAATACGATCGATATATGATTCCAGTCATATCATGTTGGTTCGCTTTTAAAGTGGTGAGAAGAAGGTTTTGGCACGCGGCGCAAACGAAGGCCGTTTCAGCGAACGGGCACCGCGCCAAACGGAAGCCGCACTGACACGCCTAACCGTCCGCAGAGAACTGCACTATAGTTAACTGGGCACGTACAAACTGAGATCAGAGTGGGGTTCTATCTAGGGAAGTTATCAAGTTTTTTTTCTGCTTTTTCCTTCTCTATCGAATTACTCAGCACCTCGTATATATAGGCAAAACCCCTAATCCACTATCCGTGATTGCAAATGATGAGCGTTGCCTTTGAACATACGAGATCCAGTCCAATGATTTACCATTCCTCTTATATACATTTCAAGACACAGTATGTGTCCTACTATAACTTTATCAGACACTTCTACCTCCGTCCCCACGGTAAGACATGGTTACGTGACATCTTGGAACTCTTTGTGCATGGTCCTGTTACGAAACCCTGTGACGCAGAGATAGAGGGCAGCGGCTGCCAAAGCATCGAAACGTGCAAAAAACATAGGCGAGCCAGGAAACGGGATTTTTCAAGGGGAGGGACTCCGGGGTGGGTGAGCTACTTATAGTCGGTGAAAAGCTGGAGTGAGCGAAGTCACAACGGCCATAGAGTGCCATGCGGTGCAGAGAAAAAGAGAAGATCGACGCGTTCAAAGGGATCGAGTTCAAGTTGTCCGTAGAACCTCCCGAGAGATAGGACGAGCGGGAGGGGAGGGAGGTGGGATGATCGTGCTGGCAATGAGATAGCCAGTGATATGCCGTGGTAGCTACTGTCCCTCCCTAATTAGATGCAGGCTGGTTAATAGGATCGCGACCGAACTTTTCAAGTTTACCCATTCCATTGTCACTTTACACAATTCATACAAAGATTTGCAGTTTGACAAACTCACATGCAATAAGGGCTATCGAACCCAACGTCACAACAGCACTCCCTAAAACAATAGAGACTTTTTTACTCTAATAGTCGGGTTTACGAAAGAAGGTAGTATTGTGGTGAGTAGATCGCTTACCACGCCGCAATATGGGGCCCAAATCTATCTCACTGAATAAGTCTGTGGTCGATCTATTGCTACCAGATTTGGGTAGGAGGATAAAATGAGCCGGATCATTCTCTTTCCAAGAGTATCTAAGGACGGGTGCGAAAGCGTGTTCAGCGTTTTGAGCGACGAGGAATGTATAGATATCGATAAGGCACGACTTTTTATATTAAGGAAACGAAAAATCTCAAAAAAAGACACTCTAACAGACGTTTCGGTTGTCATTCCGATTAGCAGGAGAGCGCGTGCTAAGTGATGTCCTTGTTACTGCACCCAGAGCACATCATCGTTGGGGATCCCAATAGGGGAAGAGGTCGTATTTGCTTTCTAGAAGAAATTTGCGGAGTTGGCAAAACTTTTTCCAGATGTTGACTTTTCGGCGGTGCAGTTCTTCATGCTTCACATGTGCTGTAATCCCTCCCCCACTTCGCTCTACGGGTCGATCGTGTCAGAGTAGTGAACTAGGGGGGGGGGGGGAAGCGGGGTCGTATCAGGCCACCTCTTAGGAGTGGGGGAAGGGTCTTACAGACTCCATCCACTCCTAAGAAGTGGCTTGATACGACCCCCCCCTCTCTAGTTTATTACTCTGACACGATCACCCGTAGAGCGAAGTGCTGGAGGGATTACAGCACATGTGAAGCATGAAGAACTGCACCGCCAAAATCCCCAGCCAATGATGTGCTCCGACTACACCACCTTCGCCTCATTTCAGAATGGCAGTAATCACTGTTAAGCGCTGTTTATCGACGGGAGGGGCATTCTGCTTTTCATAGATTTGCCAACCCATCTAGGTACCCTTTTTTCGAGTTGACACGTTTTAGAATGGTGGCTAGACGATCTTGCTCCAGCTTCACAAGAGTGAGAATTTGTAAACCGGAACCAGGGGAAGCAATTATAATACAAAATGCCCCCCCCCGTCAATAAACAGCGCCCACTGTTATGTAGAAAGGATTCTTTTCTCAAATTCTCCACTGAAGTTCTGTTTACTTTAGTGAACTCACTCCAGAATGAGGACTTTCGTGCGTACGAGTAGTATATAAGGTACACGACATTAGCTATGACAACGACGCCCTGAATTTCTTCTATTATTGTCTTTCGCTACACAACAGACAGAAGTTTAGTGGTATTCGTTAGAATGACTTACGCACTAATGAATTCAGCCAGGCCATGGGCAAACTCTCTTTCCTACCCCCCTCCCCTCTCTGCCCCGCCAAAACTCTCACCCATGAGGCTACCTTCATACTTTGCGGCAGCGTCCACCAGCGTCTACTAGCGTCCACTAGCGTTTCGAGCATCCGGCAGCGTCGGCGACTAGGAAAATATAGATATCGATCTGCTCCACCAGCGCCTCGAGGGCTAGGGAAGCATAAGTGTCGATCTAGCGTTTGATAGCGTCTGCCAGCGTCCACCAACTTCAACAGCGACCAGGAGTAGAAAGTATGGCGAAGTAGGAAGTTAGCAACTGCTAAAGCACATGATTATGCAGTAATTATGCAGTGGAGTAGTGTAGTTCTACGGTGCGGTTGCACACGCCGCAATTTCACGACGCCTATCCAGCTGTTTGCTACCCTCCTACTTCCCCATACTCTCTACTCCCGGTCGCTGGTGAAGGTCGGTGGACGCTGACAGACGCTGGCAGACACTTATACTTCCCTAACCCTCGAGACGCTTCCAGACGTTGGTGGACGCTGGAAGACGCTGGTAGGCCCTAGACCGATATCTACACTTTCCTATTCGCTAACATTGCCATATGCTCGAAACGCTACTGGTCGCTGGTGGATGCTGCCGCAAGGTATGAAGCACCCTAGTATATAACTAATGTATTTGCATTACAGTTGACGCACGACTGCCTAATGAGTTGAACTTGGGGCGAAATGGTAATGCCATAATAAGCAGTTTCTTTTAATCCAGTAACGTTAGGGTGAAATTGGAAATATGAAGGAGGGGAGATTATAGAGGATATCACTTTACTACTACAATTTCGAGTTTACGTTCCTATTTTCCGTACCGCCGTCAGAAGAAAATATAGGGAAGGCATATTGTGTCATGATTCTTCCTTTATTTCGAAGAGTAAGAGAAAATTGAACTTACTGCTGTGATTATAGCTCCTATCAGTGATGCTGCGTCCTTATATGTCGCACCAAAAATGACAAGTACCGCGAATATTGCCTCAAACGTTGTAAGCTCGTAGAAGCCAATTGTTCGCAAAGGATGTGTAGTCCATATCTGAGGCCAACAAAGGGCGTAGCTGCGAGCGAAGCGATGGCCCAGAGAGAGGAGAGGCAGGGACATATGTAGTAGAAGAGAGGGGAGTTGGCACGGGTAGCCGTCGCCGGGAAGCCCTCGTTGCCTCAAGATATGAGCTGTATAGTAATGTTAAGACAATCACCGTGGTGACAGAGCTTATGATCGGGCCGAACTTTACCGCCGCATAATCGAGAAACTGTACTTGAGCAGCACAGAAAAGTATTATGGCAGCCACTATCACGTAAATCTGAATGAGACTTTATTATTATTACTACGGTTTTTCTAACTACTTGTTCGTAATTCTCAGGGGATATCACTCCTTACTTTTGCACCGCTACTGTAAATTCATGCGAACTCACCACCAGTACAGTCGTCGGGCCCCCAGGGTACAGCCAAGGGTACAGCAACGGCGGGTGTC